AGGAGGGAGATGAGAGATAATGTGAGCGCGGAGAGCGGTAGAGAAGTCCGAGAAGAGAGAGCATAGCAGATCAACGCAGCGACGCAGACAAGATATCGAACGGTGGGCGGACCATGTTAAGTTTGGTGGAGTCTGTTAGAAGTCCATGGCGCCTAGGGTCCTAGTGACGCGTTTCGATGTAGAAAGGTGGCGCTACCTTTGCACTTGCGTGCCCAGCACTTCTAGCCATGGTAAGGGCTTCTTAGGTGGGTCTGAGCCCGAACTTTGCCTTTAACGCACCCACTGCCTCCACCAACTAACGTAAATGCTCCCATAAATAGCAGTCCTTTGAAAATGAAATTAGAACTCGCTCACGATAAGATAAAAATGAAAGAAATCCTTCAAAATCCGTAGAAAGGAATTCGTTTTAGCCCTTCATTTCCTCCTTCGACGGAACTCGAGCTTACGATCACCTTGCTCTGCCCTTCAACACTTTATCGCCGTAAACGATAAATACGACGGTCCCTCACTACCACACTATCATAAGCCGAGTGTGCATCCTGAAGCGTATATTTCCATGAAGACGGCGGCCATCACGCTTAAGGCCTTGTTAGGCCACTGCAGTGAAACTGCAATATGGCTGGGAGGCTAGAGCGTTGCGACTCGCCATTGGGCGTCATAGGAACGATGGGGACAGGTTATCGAGACTACAGAATCAGCGTGGTGAGAAGTCTGGTCAGTGGCGCCGCATGCTGTGGTCAAACCCTCTGCCTCTCAGCTATCGCACCCGCTGCAATCAAAGCAGCAGTCCCACCAATCATCTTAAACTAAAATGCCGTGGAACGATGCGCTAGCCCTAGTCAAGAACATAAGAAGTGTGACTGAACAAAAAACTCACCTTGGAAAGCCGCTAGAAAGGGAGCTGAACGGCTTCGAAGTGGGCGTGGTTGCTAAGTCGGCTGCAATCCCCTCGGCCACTGAGCTGTTCGCATACACGACTCCAGTTCGTACAGCCGCGGTTGTGCCTCTGCTTTTCTAGCGGTTCTGCCAAGCGTCATGTTTGTATCGTTCGAGTCGACCTTCATCAATACATTGGATTGACATGTTGCGTAGTCACAGGCGAGGTCGGTTCCGATCTCGAGGGCCTTAGACGCGGAAGGGATAAACCGGTAATGGCTATAGTGCTTTAATCTCTTTTGGGATCAGATGCGTTTATTGCCTCAGCTTTCGACATATAGTCGGTCAAGGCTCTCGCGCCGAGGCGGACGCCGTGTGTGACTGTGCTGGGGACTAAAGACGTAATATGATGGAGTTTTAAGTAGTAGGGGGGGGTGCGTTCGTGTGGTTCATGGGAGATCCTGGGTGTGGGGATTTTTGCGGTTGCGGGTGCCCCGGTGGTCTTTTGGGGGCGGTTTCTCATTTGTGTGTCTTTGGCGTCCCTGTGTGGTATTTCCCGTGTGTGTTGATCCTGCCCCCGGTGTTGGCTATGGACAAGCTCGCGAAGAAAGTGCTCGACGCGAGCGGAACGCGCACAGCCACCCAAGTGACTATCTGATACCGCTTGATTTCATCAGCATAACGAGCCCACCTCACCGTAGTTCACAAAATGACTGCGAAATGAATTGTTTTAGCTAGCTGAGGAAGAACGTAAAAAAGCTGCTACGTGTCTTCGCCTAAAGAAAATGTACGTGTTAGCTGCCCTTCTGATCGAAGAATACCACATGAACAACAAGGCCCGTTTGGCCAAGGAACAAAAGGATGCTTCCGATGTAAGCCTACATTTTTCACATTCTTTTATTAACCCATTGCGGACCGCGTGCTGCACCATGTGCAGCACGCCACCACGCGGAGAAGGATAGTAATCTTCGATTTTTTCAGCATTTTGCTAAGTTACAAAATCAACAGTTTACTTTTTCAGACACAGGATATATCATATATTTGCGTACTGGTTAAATTTTCGATAGATTATTGGCCACTGATAAAAGAGATGACAAAAACCTACGGAGGTGCAATTATAACGGCGGTCCGCAATGGGTTAACCTAACGTTTAAAGTGTAAAATGACATGCATTCGATGCACTGTAAAGGGGGTTAACCGTGCGTTGTGGGTCCCGCATTGGTAAGGGGTCTTGTCTGGTACGCTACGAGAGGTCGCCGTAGTAGAGAGTTTAGTTTGGAAGAGCTCAGTACCCCCCCCCCCTGCCTCCACCTCCCGTACAAGCACTCTTTTGCATGACGGATGGGGTATTTTCGCAGCGGAAGGTGCCCTTGCTTGGATAGCGACCACTTCTAGGGAAATTGACCATCCCACTAAGTTAAACAGTGGAATTCCTCTTAGCGGAGTGCAGTAGGGAAGCTTCTACCTTGCTCGAGTGATCTGGCTAACAATGGAAAAATCGTCAACCCGCACCATGATCAGTGCCTACCGAAGTTTCCGGCTACTGTAACCTCGAGGCATCACTAGTGATTTCCTAAATTAGTGGGAAAGGAATTATATCATGGACAAGTACAAGTGTTTAAGACGAACGTAGCTTTGAATGAGCTACTGGAAGGAGATGGAGATCTTTCAATGGAAGACAGCAGAATGATCGATCGGGCCTGGACCGCTGCACAAGCTTACCATTTTGTGATGCTGGCTCAACGGCAACTGTACGATGGTGAGACCTGATTCTTTCTTGCTGGAACAGTATTTCATGAAAAACAGATCTTCAGGTGATCACTATGGGGCCATGAAAACAAGCCTCTACCTGACTCAATTTGAAGCATACATTGAACCTGTGGAGATACACTCATTACTCGGTGAGTCACACATGCAACTGACCATGAGGAGAATTGAGTTCATCAAAACAGCAAGAGGTGCCACCAAATAGACCACATGCTTGCTTGGTCCATACATTTGAACCACGAATTCGATACCACTACACTATTGGAGTTTTTGTATCGATAGGCATTCAATTTCAAGCAGCTGTACCTTGTAGTCTTATCTTGACGACTCACTCATCGGGGAAGCCTCATCTAAAGGCCCACTGTCTTAGCCATAAACTCATCCACCATCTGAAACTAGCAGACAGAATGGGGCTCACGTTTCTCAGTCCAATAGTTTTTTTTCTGTTCTTCTTCACGTCAGCACCATTAGGCACCTGCACTTCATTACGCTGCTTTAATATACAATCGATATCATTACCATGGACTATGTCTCCCAAGGTAGTAAATGGGGTGCCCGGCAGGAGGCCCGTCGCGCGGCAAGAAGGCAGAGTCAGCGGACGAGTCGCAGCGCGTGATGTGCGATGTAGGACGTACAATGGGACATTCTATTTAATTGACGCGAAGTCACTACAGTACGCGATGCAACTCGTCCGTGATCAGTCTTGGCGAAATTCTCCAAACTCGAAATTGTAAAAGATCAAGGAGGTACTGAACATTCGGCGGTCTCCCACGGGACTGATGCACCACACCTCTTGGAACCAGGTGAATTTGACACAACACCAATGTCTCTCCAGCATACCGATGAGATGCTCTAGAAACACCAACTTCGTCAACCGAGAGAAATGAAACAACCCTCCTTCATGATGCGCTGACGTAAGCACACTCCCATACATGACCCTGCAAAGATTGAAAAAGAAACTGCGTACGAAGCTTTGCTACACAAACTGCATTCATTTAACCTTTCTCCACCCTTCTTTCCCAACCATTTCTACAAGTTTTCGAGTAAGAAATGCTTCAAAGTTCAAACTGACGTGGAAATGACGCTCAATGATATCATTTCCATCGAAAGCGTTCATTTCCGCGCCGGCGAGACATTTCGTATGCTTCTTCTCAAAGGCGGTAGTACATGGAAAGGTAACCTGTTGGAAATAACGGTAGAGGTGGTCGCTGAAGTAGGGATGAAGAAGAAACCATGTGAAACAGCCTGGATCCTGAGAAGTGGGACCCCTTCCAACGCTCTCTCTCTGCTATGTCGGTGGGCGTTCCGGGCCATCAAAGGATATGCCCCGGCGATATGGCGTGGTCAAACAGAAGGCCATGCCAGATCGCCGAGGCATATCCCTCGATGCGAATTGCGTGTTGGTCCGCACCCTTAGAGGGTCCGCCTGTCTCTCCACTTGGTACGTTTCCCTTTTATTTCAACTTCCCTCTTCTCGTAGAACTCTCCTTTAAGAAAAACCAATGATTTCCAATACTTTCAATATTTTTTTGTTTCGACTCAAAATGTTTAATTCGGGTGGAGAAATGGCTTTTTGAAAGTGGAGATCAAAACCCGCATTGACACCAATACCAGCTCCATCGTACGGATTATATATTTTTTATTAGTATTATTAAAATATATTCTTATTATTATTATTTATTCTACTCATCCTAATCTAGTTTCTTCCCGAACAACCTAATATGTATTCTTACAGCACTATCATCCTGTGCATGTCGTCAGTTTTCCGTATGCAGCCGTGCGTTTATGAGACTGGAATCACTCGCTGATCCCCAATCTGAAGAGAGACGTGCATACCAGAAACTAGCTTTGGAGCTGTTCAGCCGGTGAGGCAGTTTGTTTCTTTTGAAGAAACCCCAGGAAGAGAATCAAGTTTTCAGGTATCCTCCTACGGAAAACCAGGCGAAAACAGCTAACTGCACCGGCTGTGATAAAGCAATAGCGGATTACGAGTTCTCTTGCTCATACTGTGAAACGAAAGTACGATTTTCACTTCTTCAATCTCTATTTGTTATTTTGAATGAGGAATGTATTCAGAGCCATTAATGGCAATGATTTCGACGCTACTTGAACTAAAAGTGAGTAGTAGTTATAAACCGTCCACACGGATAGCAGTTGTACTTCATTGATTCATAAGCCGTGATGGTCTTAGAGCTGCTAGTGATCGAATGCTCATCTCTACATGAGTGCAAATCTAGGCGCGTTTCCGAATCTCAGGCGATACACAATTTACAATCACGTACCTGTCTTCGCTTCGAAATGTACGTAGAAATAAAGTGGAAGCCATTAAAAAAATGAATCGCCGGAAACTTCAGAAATAACGCGGATTTTACGATGAAAAGGCAGATCATCGTGGATTAACTTATAGATAATCAGCGATACACGAAGGATGAAAAACCATGTGGAACAGCGCAGACCTCGAGGAATGGGACTCCCTTATTGCCCA